ATCTATGCAACAACCAACCGAAGGATCTATGCAACAACCAACCGAAGGATCTATGCAACAACCAACCGAAGGATCTATGCAACAACCAACCGAAGGATCTACACAACAGCCAACCGAAGGATCTACACAACAACCAACCGAAGGGTCTACACAACCAACCGAAGGGTCTACACAACCAACCGAAGGGTCTACACAACAACCAACCGAAGGATCTACACAACAACCAACCGAAGGGTCTACACAACAACCAACCGAAGGGTCTACACAACCAACCGAAGGATCTACACAACAACCAACCGAAGGATCTACACAACAGCCAACCGAAGGGTCTACACAACAACCAACCGAAGGGTCTACACAACCAACCGAAGGGTCTACACAACCAACCGAAGGGTCTACACAACAACCAACTGAAGGATCTACACAACAACCAACTGAAGGGTCTACACAACCAACTGAAGGATCTACACAACAACCAACTGAAGGATCCACACAACAACCAACTGAAGGATCCACACAACAACCAACTCAAGAACCTACACAAACTCAGGAATCCAATCAGAAACGACAAATAATGAATCCTACAACATCTATTATGGAACCTACTGAGAATCCTACAACATCTTCTGTGGAACCTACTGAGAATCCTACAGCATCTACTGTGGAACCTACTGAGAATCCTACAGCATCTACTGTGGAACCTACTGAGAATCCTACAACACCTACTGTGGAACCTACTACATCTACTGTGGAGCCTACTGAGAATCCTACAACATCTACTACGGAACCTACTGAGAATCCTACTATGGAACCTACCGAGAATCCTACATCTACTACAGAACCTACTGAGAATCCTACAACATCTACTACGGAACCTACTGAGAATCCTACATCTATGGAACCTACCATGAATCCTACAACACCTACTGTGGAACCTACTGCGAATTCTACTCAGGAACCAACCCAGGAACAAGAATGGTATACATTACTTTTGCTCAAAAAATCATGCAGTGAATCGTGCGTGTAATACCTTGTTTTTACTAATACGTTATCCAAAAAAACATTAGTTCTGTTCACAGTCAATCAGTGGTACAAGAAGAACCCATCGTCGTTGTTTTGCATGGATCGGGTTCAGAAAGTGTTCAATATCCGTCTACGTCAGTTGAAAACGATGCCGATGATACCGCTGATAAAGAATCTGAAGATGACGCTCAAAACTAGATTAAATGTTCGCTTACATGATCTACGTCATATATTATATTTATTAATTATTTATTTTTATAGATATATTATATATATATTATTAATAATAACTTAACTATAACATGTATATATAATCTGTTAGTGTTGCAAGAATGGAATTCGCTCGCACAATAAAATTATGAAAAAAAAATCAATTTAAAAATATCATTTTCTATAAAATTGTTTCTCGCAATAGGTTAGAAAATTCTTGTCTAAAAAATTCTAAAGAGTATATTAAAAATTACATAATACTGTATTAAAATTATTATGTAAATTGTAAATTTTCCAAATATTCAAATATTAATTTATTTATTATGATATATCGACAAAAATTCTGATAGATCTTTCGTCGTTACACACCTTGTAACGCACGTACGTACGTACGTATCGCAAAAATTCAGAAATTAAATAAGATATTTCGGGAACTGCCTGCTTGAACGTTTGAAATTGGTCATATACCGTATGCCACTGCTTACAGTACCCGGGGTCTTATTCAAAATTCCATTTTTAAAATTGAATAGTACCTATGGGAACTGTGTGAAGAACCGGGTACTATATCTGGGATATATCATATTAAAAGCAGTAAATCATTTTAGTTATACCCGGGTCTTATTCAAGAAACAAGTTGGTAGTTGTGATAAATAATACCCGGGTCTTAATCATGAGGGGTATTATTTTGGGAAACGAGCTTAGTTTCGGCGAATAGAAAAGACTCAGCCGCCTACGTTTTGTTGAGAACTTTCCGCAGCCTGTCGGGATAGTGAATCAAAACAAAATTGTATAGTAAGGACCTCTCTAAATGCAACCCTCTAAATGCAATAGTTCTTTAAATGAATCTTTAACTCTGGCCCAAGCATGTATAGTCGTAACGAAGACGATGATTTATATTAAAAAACTCAAATTTCGACGAAATTTATTATGTATATATCATTTTTTAAAAAAAGCGCTCTATTAGTCTGAAATATAGGTTCTGCAGAGCAATTGAGTAAATTTTTAAAGAAATTAGTATGTAAATTATTGAGAAGATACAATTTTGAAATTTGATAATTTTTTATAATCGTTTCATGTAAGATTTTATTTGTATCTCTGTAAATTACATAGAAAATTTGCTCAATTGCTCAGCAGAACTTATACTTTAAACTAATAGTTTTTTTTAAAAAAAAAAAATTTATTAAACTTTTATTTAATTTATTGAAATAATCTATTTGTCGCAGACGGTAATGGCACCCGGATTTTATTTATAATTGCATTTAGGATTAGAAAGGTCATAGTATGTAGTAAAATTATGCAAAGAATATTTTTTGTTAAGTCACGGAAGTTGATTTAATAGGCATAATTTTGAGTTATTTTGATTTAAAATTTTGAGATATTTGCGACAAATAGATTCGCCCATATTTTAAATATATAGTTTACTACAGATAATCGTGATCATTACACAAAAAATTGTCTATTCAAACATTCATACAGGACTATACATAAATTTGATTTAAATAATACATTTAACGCCCCAATGCCAGACCCATAAATGCAATTTTTCGTATTGTTCTCTAAATGCAAGCTGTTAAAAGTCTTATCTTTACGAATTGCATTTAGAGAGCTTGAGTGCAGAAGATCAGGTTAAGATTTAGTAAATTTATTGAATCAAGAAATAAGGTATAGAACGCTTATTTTGTCGATTGAGCGACGTCTTTATTGAGGAGCAGAATTTCTGCTTATGTACTCACAAACAATATGAAGACTGATATTTCTAATATATTGTGACCGATTCAACTAATATAATCTCTGAGACTAAACGCCCGATATACCTTATCTCTCCTATATGACCCGCCTCCTTATTGAATTAAATGTAGTGGACTGATAATAAGGAAAGAATTACCGGATTCATAGAATTTATTTATATTCTCAAGAACCAAAAAAGTGTTGACATTTGAAAACAGGTAGCTATCTCAAAAATTTTGAGCGAGTATATTTCAAAAAAATTTCTGTCAAATTTAATTGAATATTGTTGAGATACTATTTATAAGCACATAAAATACTTTAAGATCTAAAAACATTAAAGTTCTGTTCATCAAAAATGCATTTAATGATTCTTTTAATCTATTGGGGCCAAATGAACCTCAGAAACCATCCATCTTATTGCGTGGTTAATCGATATAGTGTGAACGATACCAAAAATCTTATTCAATAAAACACTCGCTTGTTTATTTTATTTAGAGATAAAGATTTTATTATATTTAAGTTCTTTCTCTCTGACTAACTATTCTATTTCTTTACGTTTCTTATTTACAATACAATTATATATATCTATTTGCATTACTAAGCCAAATATAATGATAATGTTCAATAACCATCAACTACATGACACATCTTTTTCTTCGTCTTCTGGTCTTATATTTTAATATAAATACATTATTTTTTAATGTATATAGAGTTCTAATAAATTTTTTTAAATAAACTTCGGACTTTTGCTTATGGGGGATTACAGAGAAGCCTTCACTTACACTATAATATAAACATATTATTTTTAATGTATATATATAGCAATAGAGTTTTAATAAATTTTTAAATACAAAGGGCTTTTGCTTACACTATAACAAATACAATATTTTTTAATGTACATAGCAATAGAGTCCCAATAAATTTTTTTTAAACTTTGAATGTTTGCTTACAAGAGGGATTACTAAAGAGTATTCATTTACACTATAATATAAATAAATTATTTTTAATATATATAGCAACAGAATTCTAAAAATTTTTTTAAATAAACTTACTTTGAGTCTTTACTTATAGTGGGCTAGCGCTCGGCAAAATCAAACAAAAACTTGATTTTCAAGTTTTTGAATCCATCGATTCACAGTATTGTGATTTAATTACAAAATTTATTTTTACTCTAATCTGATTTTAAACTTCATGATAAGTTACCACGAAGTCTAAAGTAAGATCGGATGCCTGTTAGATTTATATATTTACTAAAAATAAAATTGTACTTAATGCAATGCTGTAAATTGATAGATTCAAAAACTTGAAAATCAAGTTTTTGCCGTGCACTATAGTGGGCTTTGTTGAAGGCTTTTAGTTTCTTTAGTAATTTCAATAATATTGGAGCTTCAGTAACTTTTCTGTCTCATATTTTAATTCTACTCATATGTTTCAAGTTTTTGAATCTTGTCAAGCCTATCAACATGATTTTTGGCTTTTACTTTAGATGATATTAATATTTTCAATTTTACCAGGCTTTATTAGGCTTACTTGTATGAAAAGCCTTAAAATATTAGATACATTTTAACACATGGCTTTTTTTAGTGCTGCTTACTTTACCAACAATCATTTTATTGAAAGTTTATTTAGTTAACATCACATAGGCTAAGATTAGCATTTTATTAGCTGTAAACACATATTTTTAGTAAATTGTCACTTAACACAGTGTTGTTGACTGGAAGCTGAAACCTCACTGGACGTCCAGATATTTCCAGTGTTCCAGTGAAGTTTCACTGGAACCGATATAATACTGGACAATAAAATTACGAATAAGAATTAAGGTTATTATAAACATGTGATTTGCCTGATATCCAATCAGTTGCAAGAATACTTTTCATTTTACTCTACTGGTAACTGGTAAAGCAAACATCCGTAACTTATATCCTTATTGGCTAATCGCCCCAAATTTTTTATTTAATTACTATTAAAACTAAAACAAGTAAAATTAAATCCTTACAATAAAATATAATTTCGATATCATTTTGAAAATTTTTGCTAGTTAATTAGCAATGTCGCTTTTTTTCGCTTTGAATTCAAAATGTTGATCATTTCATTTCAAACCCTAAATTGGGTTAAGTGAATGTAAAATGGTCTCTTGAAATGAAATAATTATCTGAGAAATCATTCAGTAGGGTGATTCAGAACTAAGGTTCGGGTTTCTGATTTCGAATTAAATTGGTGATGTATTTATTTCGAAAACAGTATTCATAAATCTTATTTATTTTGATTTGTAAGCTTATTTATATAATAAGAATAATAATTAATACTTTTATGACGTGATTTTCTTTCGAAACTTGATTATATTTCGATAATTACATATTAAAGATATAAATAGTGTCTTAGAAAATACTAATAAAAGAATATCCTAATATTATTTAAGAATTTTTAAAAAAAATTTAAGCGATAATTATTAATTTATTACGATAGTATATATCATATAATAACAATATCAAAAAAAAGGTTACTCATTTGTCTCCGGATAACACCTATTTCATTTTCTGCTTTCAAAATTTTAAAACAGAAATAGGTCATTTTGTACCCCCACTTATTTTCGAAATAAGTTAATTATAATCACTCTAATATCAATATTGCAGCAAACATTTAAATTTGCAAATATAGGTATACCATGAGGAAGTGATGAATTAGATATTAATTAAATGGATGATTCTTCGGTTATCGTTGGCCACTACTTACAGTATTCCCAAAAAATAAAACCTCCATGATTAAGATTCGGGTACTAATTTAAATATAATATATCCCCAAGTACAATACCTGGTTCTTCACACAGTAACTACCTAAATTTGATTCTAGATCAACTTTATAATCTTCTTGTATAGATGTTAATGAAATTAAAATAAAAATCAAATTATAGTTAGGTGATTATCAATTATCGTGTTATCTTTGTAAAGTTTAAAATTAATTTACTACCAAATTTTTGATAATATTCGAACGCTATTTTTAACGCTGATTTCTTCTTTATATGATATTAATGACCAATCATAATTATTCTATCCTATTATCACCCATGACTGAAATATAACATAACTTGCTTTACTGTTACCAATTTAGTCATGAATGTGTTCAAAAGTGCATTCGCAACAATTTAGGAATTTTAAGACGGTCAAAAACAAATCTTTTTATTAAGGATAATCTGAAAACCAACTTCACTAACAGGGATATTTATTGTCATTATGTTATTAGTTTAAAGTATGGGTATCAAT